TAATTGTGTTTTTAGTAGAGACGGGGTTTCACCATGTTGGCCAGGCTGGACTCAAACTCCTGATCTCAGGTGATCCACTCGCCTTGTCCTCCCAAAGTGCTGGGATCACAGGTGTGAGCCACTGCGCCTGGCCTTCCTAAGGATTTTATAATTTTAGTGCTTACATTTAGGTCTACGATCCATTTTGAGTTAATTTTTGTGCACAGCATGAGGTCGGGGTCCAACTTCATTCTTTTGCACATGGATATCCAGTTGTCCCAGCACCATTTTCTGAAAAGACTATTCCTTACCCCATTGAATTGTCTTGGCACCCTTGTCAAAAATCAACTGATGGCTGGTCTGAAGGCAGTGAGTTATCGCAATTGATTGTTCACAGTCAGCTACAGATGGAACACCTCGTTCTACTCTTTCCCCCCTTCTCACTGCTGCACTTGAATTGTCTTTAAAAAAATCAATTGACCATAAATGCAAGGATTTGTTTCTGGAGTCTCAACTTTACTGCATTGATCTGTATGCCTATCCCTATGCCAGTACCACACTGTCTTGATTACTGTAGCTTTGCAGTAAGTTTGAATCAGGAAATGTGAGCCCTCCAATTTTGCTCTTCTCTTTCTAGATTGTTTTGGCTCTTCTAAAATACAAATACAAAACCCTTGTATTTTCTTATGAATTTCCTTATGAATTGGAGGACCAGCTTGTAAAAAGACAGATTTTGATAGAGATTGTGAAGCTATAGATGAATTCGGGAGTTTTGCCATCTTAACAATATCATGTCTCCTGATCCATGACTGCAGGATATCTTTCCATTTAATTCGATATTCTTTGATTTCTTTCTAAAATATTTTGTATTTTTCAGTACACAAGTTTTACGCTTCTTTTGCTAAAATTATTTCTAGGTATGTCCTTTTTGCCGATATTATAAATATTGTCTTCTTAATTTCGTTTTTGGATTGTTCATTGCTAGGGTATAGAAATAAAATTGATTTTTGTATATTGATCTTGTATCCTGCCACATTGCTATGCATGTTTATTAGTTTTAAGGTTTTTAGTGGATTTTCTATATATGATGTCATATAACCAGCAAATAGAAAGTTTTATGTCTTAGTCCCTTTGAGCTGCCACAACAGACTGCCATAAACCGAGTGACTTATAAACAACACAAATGTATTTCCCACAGTTCTGGAGACTGGGAAGTCCAAGATCAAGGCACCAGTAGGTTTGGTGTCTGGTTGGGGCCTACTTCTGGGTTCATAGATAGCTGTCTTCTCACTGTGTCCGCCATAGTGAAAGGAAGGGGCCCAGGGTCTTTCTAAGGCTTCGTTTATAAGGACACTAATCCAATTTAGGAAGGCTCTGACCTCATCACCTAATCTCCCAAAGGCTTCACTTCCAAATGCCATTACCTGGGGAGTAAGAATTTCAACACTGGGGTGGGGCACAGATATTCAACATAGCATTTTACTTCTTCCTTTCTAATATGGGTGCCCTTAACGTCTTTTTCTTACCTAATTGCCCTGCCAGAGCCTTCCGGACAGTGTTGAATGGTAGTGGGGAGTGTTCACCCTACCTTACTCCTGATCGGAGGGGAAGAGCTACCCGCCTTTCACCATTGAACACCACATTAGCTGGGGTATTTTTGTCAGTGCTGTTTATCAGGTGGAGGCAGGTCCTTTCCATTTCTAGTGAGTTCAATGCTTCTTTATGAGGGAAGAGTGTGAGCTTTCATTTGGGTGCTTCCCCTGCGTCTGTTGAGATGATCGTATGGTTTCTGTCCCTTATTCTATTGATATGGCGTATTTATTACCTTGGTTGCTTTTTGGGTGTTGATAATATCCAAACACTTCTGCCACCCCTTTTAATAGAAAGTTGTACAACTCCCCAACCTGCCTGTGCATGTCTGCCCAACACGAGTGCCAGTGGCTGACTCCCTGCTAGAGTGAGCACTGCACAAACAGCCTCTGCTTGTCCTCATTTGAGTGATCTTCACGTATTCCATGAGAAATCAAGGCACAGGGGTCTCATGAATGGCTCCGCCAACCGAAGGTGTACTCCACTGGGGCTGTGAGTCACCTCACACCAGGGGGAAAGGTCTCTGTCAAACATGGCTTCAAGGAGCCAGGGACCTGGTGCCTCCCACAGGCCAGGCCCTGCCCCCCAAGTGCAATGGGAATATATGCACATGTCACCTGTCCCAGAATGCTGGGAGATGGTACTTCTGCAGATGGGGAATCTGAGGGACCAGCCTGAAGTCATAGGGATGGGAAGACTCCTACACAAGCCCAGCCGGGCTACAAACGCCTGCCCTTCCTCAACGTGCCGCTGGCTGTGCCCACATTGCTCCAGCAGCTCCACCTTCCCCAGGCATAAGCCTTCTCAGGGGCAAGCCTGGGCAGGGCAGGCCCAGGGAGTAGTGTTCCCATCCCAGGCCAGGCTGCTGGGCAAGCCCCTCCCCTTTCTCCCCCTCATCCTCTGACAGAGTCCACCTGGATATTTGTCCTGGAGCCAGGATGGAAGCTCCACCAGGCCCAGCCCACAACAGGAACCCTTTCAGATGCACTCCTGGGTGCCTACTGTCCCAGTATCACACAGACACAAGCCATGTCAGCCATGGGATCCCCAAGGTCCCCATGAGGTCACACCAGTGGGCCGCTGGGAAGGGCACTTCAGATGTGGTGCTCCCATGACCCAGGCCCTGCGAAGTGGTCCTCCTACCTCCTCGTAGCCAGTCCTCCCTGTGAGCCTGCAAGTGCCTGTGAACGTGAGTTCCACTCTGGAGCTGAGACAGGCTGCTGCCCCCGCAATCAGAAATCAGGCCCATGAAGCCCTCCATCACCTCACTGCAGTCAGAATAAAATGCAGCCCTCCTCTGGCCTCCAGGTCCCAAGGCCGGCCCCCCTGCCTCCCAGGCTCACACCTGCCCCTGACCTGTGTCCAGCCTCTTTCCCCTGGTTCTGTCCGCTCTGAAGCCCTTGCTTTGCTTGTGTTCCTCCAACCTCACTGGTCTGCCTGGAGTGCTCCTCCCCGGCTCCGCCTGGCTGACTCCTTCTCAGGCATCAGGGCCTGGATCCATCATGGCTCTTCCAAGCCTCTGCACTCGGAGTGCCCCAGCCCCATGGTTGAGAAGTGCCCCAACCCCGTGACCCTCTAGCAAGCATCCTAGGAATTCCCTCCCTCCCCAGCACTGATATGACCATCGTGCTGTGACACCTGTCATCTCCGCCAGAGCTGCAGATTCTCAAGGGGAGGGGTCTGCTGCCTGGCTCCCACACCCAGGGCCTGGAACAGTGCCTGGCACACAGCAGGCACCCACTAAATATTTGATGCATGGCTGAAGAGGACAGGCAGGCTGGCTGCTGGCCGGGCATGGCCTGCTTCTGAGGCTGGTGGTCAAGGACACAGTGTGCACGGATCTGCCCCCTCCTCTCACTTCCTGAGAATGGAGTCAGTGTCTCCCTCCACCCAACTCCCCCTGCTGAGGACACAGCCCACACCTTTAGCGGGAAATGTCCCCATCACTGGGGACAGCAGGGAGCTGATGGGAGAGCAGGTGTCCAGGACATTCAGAGAAATGTTTCCTCATGCTGGAACCCTTGTCTATTCCCTTCTAAACAAAAAGAATCCTCAAAGACTCTCAAGTGACCATATAGTATCTTTTCTTATAATGTCACTTTGACAGGCACAAAATGTAAAACCAGGCATAAATTCGTGCTTGTAGTTCTTATGCAGGCATGAAGCCAAAACCAGTTTACAAACTAACCACCAAGAAAACTGGTAGAGCACAGATGATTACAATAGAGCTGTTCTGTCCAATGTGAGCGCTACTGGCCACCCAGGGCCATGTGAATTTAAATTACAATGAAACACAATGAAAAATTCCGTTCCTTGTGGCCACATTTCCAGTACCCAGTAGTCATTTGTGCCAGGGGTTATCCAGCTACAGAACATTCCCATCATTGCAGAAGGTTCTATCAGTTAGCACTGGATTGGACGACATTTGCTAAGACGAGCTAGCTAGAGCACGGTTCTCCGGACCTGGTTCCATGTGGTTCCCAGGTAAGCTCCCGCCCACAACGCAGCCCTGTTGTCCATCAATTTTCTTGGAGAGGGCATGGGAAACCTTTGTTGGTGTGTCATCTCCTGCGAAGGCCTTCACTCCTTCCTCTGGGCAGGAAGCACCCCTCACTCTGAATCATTAGCCCAAAGCAGTAAGTGCAGCGGGCCTGGCCCCACACTTACAGGAAGAGCCACAGCGTGAGGCTGGCATCCCTGGGGCACGACACAACCAGGATGTGGATGAAATAGATGCAATATCTGGAGGTTCTCTTATAGGTGGCTCTGGCCTCCTGGACACTTCACACTGGTCTGGGAGCTGCCCTCTCAGGGCCCAGTGTCCTTTTCAGATGCAGACTCCTGCAGCATGGGTCAGCAATTCTTCCCTTCCGTGGGACAGGGATTGGCTGCCTGTACTTGAGGCCAACACTGACTAGGGGGCCTCATGCCTGCCCACGTTCCAGCCCCGGAGAGCAATGTGAGCAAAGCCTCCTGTCTCTGCAAAGCCAACCACTGTAGCATCACCTCCTTTAGGGAGCCCTCCCGGATTGTCCAAGGTGCTCACCTCCTTTGGGGAGCCCTCCCAGATTGTCCAAGGTGCTTGAGGGAGGGAGGAATAGGTTGTTCTCTCGGCACCGGGCCTGCACTCCTGGGCAGACGCTGCATGCCTGTCCTCAGGCGCGGCCCTGCTGCCATCCCCTCGGGGGCTCGGAGCGCGACAGCAGCTCAGGGACGCCTCCCGCGCCCAGCACGGTGCACCCAGGCCCTGAGGTCCTGGCCGAAACGCGCCAAGTTGGGGGTAGGTGCAGCGCCCCCGTACCCCTCCGATGCGCGCCCTGGCGACGGGAGGCGGGGCCGGGGGCGGGGCGCGAGCTGGCCGGGGCGGGGCCTACGGGGGGCGGGACCGTGGCGTCCTATAAGTGGTGCTGAGCGGGGCGCGCGCCCGGCCACAGAGCGAGCGCGCAGCAGCGGAGATAGCGGCGACCCCACCGCGTATCCGGCCAGGCCTCCGGCGCCCCGCGCCCCTGCGCCCCCGCACCCCCGCGCCCCGTTCTTCGCACCGAGGCCCCGAGGCCAGCCAGGCCCCCTTGCCGGCTGCCCGCCAGGCCCCGCGCCGGCCCGCCCGCCTCCCAGGACCGGCCCGCGCCCCGCAGGCCGCCCGCCGCCCGCGTCGCCATGGGAGTGGAGGGGTGTACCAAGTGCATCAAGTACCTGCTCTTCGTCTTCAATTTCGTCTTCTGGGTAAGGGCTGGGCCGGGGGCCAGGGCGGGAGGGGACGGGCACACACCCCACCTCGGGCAGGTCCCGCGGCCGCGTGCTAGGCCCCGCGGGCGCAGCGCGGGCCCCGAAGTTGTGGGGCCACCTGTGGGCTCCAGGAGCGGGGTGGGGGGTCGCCCGGGGCCGCCGCGCCCCCCAACTTTGGGGCTGAGGGCTGCGAGCCGAGTTTCGGGGCCTCTGTGCGCGGGGGCCCAGCTCTGCGGCCGGGCCGGGGCTTCTGGGGGCCGCCGGGCAGTTCCCGCTAAGTGGTAGTGATGGGTGCGGTGGGCGCGGGCCGGGACCCGAGTACCCGGCCGCCCCTCAGCTGAGGAGTGGGCTGCGCGGGTCCCTGGCCGCGGATTCCGGACTGCTGCTTCGCGGGGACGAAGGGGGGGCTCGCGGGCGGGACTCCTGGCGCCCCGCCCCCATGAGCTCATCAAGGGCCGCCGCCCCTGGATGGTGGGGCGGGGGCGCACACTTTGCCCGAGGTTGGGGGCGATCCGCCTCACTCTCTCCCCAGCCCAGCTAACTCGCCAGTCTGCTGTCACCACCCGGGACCTTCCTGGGGGTCGCGCCTAAAAGGACGTCACCGCTGGGATGGCCCAAAAGCTGGGGTGCGCGCACCCTGGCTGTCCTGCCTGGGGGCCGACCCCCCTCTCCTCACCCAGACACGTTCCAGCCTAGGCCTCCTCCCAGAAGGACTCTGGAGGCCTTGCAGGAGTGGGGTCCCGCGGTTCTGAGTTGGCACAAGGAAGAGAGTGGCACCAGGGGCCTGGAGTGGATGGCAGGGTCTGGGAGTGGGGCCGCTGCTTTGGAAAGAGGGGCCCCCACGCTGGGCATCTTTGGGTGCCAACGTGGGTGGAGGAGGGTCTCCTGCTGAGAATGGCTTTCTCCCGACCGCAGTCTTTGCTGCTGGGAAGTGACTGATGGGCTTTCGCCTTTTGTCTCCATTTCCTGTCAGTGTTGGAATTGGGGAGGGGGTGGAAATCCCTTCTTGGCCTGGAAGGACTGGAGTGGGTGTCCATGACGGTGGCCTCCCCGTGGCCACGCCCCTGGGCAGAGACTGCAAGCCCCTCCCTGTGTCCCCCCAGGCTGTCACCCCCTTCTCGTGGAAGACTCGGCTGATGTCCCAGTGGACCGAGTGTTTCTCAAGTTGAGGCAGGGAGGGCAAACTTTTAAAATGGCCCCTGGAGCCAGTGTGTGGGACCAGAGACATCTGTTTCCCATCTGGACGGCTGAGGATCCCAGTGCAGGTCTGGGGCAGGGAGATTATTTGGAGGGGGATGGACAGAGGCTGAACTGAACTCTCAGCTGGGAGAGGAGTGGGGCGGTCACATCCCACCTTCCCCAAGCCCAGCTGTTCTGCACAGTCTGCTTGGGACACTGGTGGGAGTCACTGTAGCCTTTGGCTCTGCCCTGGCAGTGGGGGCAGCGAGGCCATCTGGGAGGGGCTTGCCCTCCCCAGGCACAGGCCTGGCACCTCGGCTGTTGCTTAGTGGTGGCCTGCTTCAGCCCAGGCATGTGGGAGAGGCACGGGACACAGGATGTCCCTCTGCCGGCCCCTGGAGCCCCATCCCCTGATGAGGAGAGTGTGGGCCTGGGGGCGGGGGCTGAAGGGGAGTCAGGGAAGGGGACTTCTCTGGAGGTGGATTTTTGCTCTCTGGAGGATGCGTCACCGCTGGGTCACCGCTGGGTGAGTCCCTCCTGCCTGCCCAGGCTGTGAGGTCTCCCTGGCAGTCCCCCGGGAGTGTCGCCATGGTGGGCCTGGAAGTTTCCCAGGCAGCTGGGGTGGAGACCTGACGCATCCCAGGGATGCTTGTTATTAAGGCTCGAGGAAATGTCTCCAAGGCCTCACCACTCCTCTCCCCAGGGCCCGCTCCCCGCAAAGCATTGAGAACTGAGTCCGTTCACAGTCACTGTGGACCCACCCATCCACTGGGGCTCTGTTGTAGCCAGGAATGCCAGGCTGGGTGAGGTGAGGTTGGTGGACCCCCCTCCACCCTGGTGTCGCAGGGTGTGCGGCTGAGAGCACAGTGCCATGGGCTTGGGCGTCCCTCAGTGGAGTCCCCACCACACTGCTCTGGTCCTGGGCCTTGGCCTCCCCCGTCTGCAGTGGGGGCCCTCAATGAGCCTGCCTCCTGGGGTTGTTGGTGGATTCGCTGACATGCCTGAGTGTTGACAGGGGGCTTGGTACAGGAAGGACTCAGGGTGTGGGGGTTGGCCAAGGGTCCAAAGGGACCCCTGCCTCAGAGAACCCAGCCCAGGCAGGCAGGATGTGCAGTGGGGAAGGGGCTGCAGGAACCCTGCAGGGCCCAGAGGGACTCAGTGCAGTCCCGTGGGCTCAGGGGAGGCTGGTGGGGCGGAGGTTGACAGTGCATGTCTGGATGGGGCGCTTGTTAAAAGTTCCATTTTAGAGAGGAAAAAGGCCTTGCCTGTGGAAGAAGGCAGCTGGGGTAGCCTGACCTTTTTCACAGAAAGGAGCCCCCACACACACGCACAGGCACTCACACACACGAATGTGCACACACCCTCACTCCCGCCTGCACACACACTCACACTCTTGCCGTCTCACTTCCCAAGCCAAGGTGCGAGGGGGAAGGTCCGGGCAGCGTATGCACCTGCACCCTGACCGCTTTGGGGGCCAGTGAGAACTGGTCTCCCTGGGTGCGGGGCTGGCCCAAGCAGGGAAGATATTGCAGACACCCTGGCCAAGCAGCGTGGAAATCCTGTCCCTTGGGTGGGTCTGGGAGCCTCCATCAGAGGCGGCTGGCACCTGAGACCCACTGCTGCCAGGAGCAGGGCAAGAAAGCCTGTGTCCCGGGGCAGGGGACTGGCCCGTGGGAGCCTTGCCTTCCTCATCTGTGAAATGGATATAAGAGGCTTCTCCTCGGGGGCTGGCCAGGGAGCCCAGGAGAGGTGTCACCAGTCCCCGCAGGGAGAAGAGCTGTGTCTCCTGCCTGGGACTGGCTGCTCCCCCAACCTAATGCAGCTGGTGGCCACCTCCCAGTGGCAGGGCAGCCAAACCCGGCTGGGAAAGAGACTGATTAGAAGCCTCACTAACGGGTATTTCTCGCTTCCAGACAACACATGACTGTCACGTGGCAGGTCTGTTGCCGTCCTTCCGGGAGAGGGGCTGCAACCCTGGCAGGCGCTGTGGGGGAGGGGGGCTAGGACATCCTGTGCCTGGTTTCACCAAGTGGGCGTGTGGACTTTCCCTGGCTCCCCCAGGCTGTCTGACTGCACAGCTTTGGGGAAACGGTCACTGGGGCAAGCGGGCTGAGAAGAGGAAGTCTGGTTTGTCCCTGCTACAGACTGGCCCCAGTGAGGCTGTCCAGAAGTGCAGGGCACAGAGCGAAAGCAAGGAGGTGTGGGCCTACTTTCCTGGTCGCCCCTCTGGCTGGCTGTGGCTCTACCGGGTGCTGACAAGTCACCCACCCTCCCTGAGGGCACCAGGGTGTGTGCCCGAAAGCCCTCCATTCTTTCCTGGGTTCGAGGGTCCTTCTCCTACACCCGCCCCAGCGCCCAGTTCAGCTCAACTTTCAGAAATCTGGTTCACCCCCAATCCCTATCTCATAACTGCTTCCAAGCCCAGACAGGGAGACAGACCCCAAATGATCCCCTATTTCTGTACCTGAAATCCCACCATGGGAAGAGCTTTGCTCATAGAGTCAATAAGGCTTAGAGTCCAGGCACCTGTGCGAGGGAGCAGGTGGTCACCCTCGTGCCCGCTGCGGATTGGAGAGGACCCTGGGGATGGGTGGGGCTGGGGCTGGGAGGAGCCAGGTACCCTGCCCCTTGCTTGGCCCCCACCTCCCTGTGATCCAGGCTGGGCGCGCCGTGGGTGCTGGGTGGTCGTGCACCCCTGCAGGTGTCTGACTTGTTCCCAGCACCCCTTTGGGCAAGAAGAACCAGGCTTACCCAGAAATGGGCTTCAGTGATCTCCACTTCCGAGTCGTCCCCACCTGCCTGGTAGGACGCAGTGGCACCTGGTATGCTGGGCAGCCTTCCAGGAACCTCTGGACTTACTCAGTGTCCCCCAGCCCTGCACACACATTCTTTGTGTTTCTGGGCCCAAACTAAGCCCCCCAACCTGGGATGCAGAGCAGGTGCTGAATCATGAGAGACCCTTGAGGGTCCTCCAGGTAGGCCCCCAGTGCTGGAGGAGTCCCCTCAGGCAGGGGCCATGCCCAAGGGCATGGAAGGTCAGCTGGATCTCGCTTTCGGGGCTGTAGGTGTTCTGTGCTAGCCACCAATGCCATGGCCTTAGGATGGCCAGGAGAAGGCAGCTGCCCCCCACTCCCCACACGAGGTCTTTGAGGGCTGCGGGCTCAAGGAGGTGCAGTAGGGCTGGGGGGCCAGGGGCGCAGAGCTCTTAAGTGCCTCTCTCCTGGATGCGGGTGCCCCAGCAGGGGAGCTTCGAGAGTCCAGGTGTGAGATGCCAAATGCCAGGGGCCTGAGAGGAGGGAGCGTCCAGCTTGGCCAGAGGCTGGTGGCTCACGCCCCCTCCCCGCCTTGCCCTTCTGTCTGGAGCTATGCCCTCCCACTACGTTTGGAAAGTGATTGCTTCCCTCTTCCTCAGCCCCTCGGGCTCCCAGTTATGGAAGTGGTGTGATTCGGAGAAGGTAAAGGATGGGAGGGAGAGGGCTGAGTGACGGGGACCCCGCAGGGTGCCCTGTGCTGTGTTACATGGAGCTCCAGGATCAGGGCAGGCGGGCAGCCTGGGGTCCTCACTTCTGTCCCCAGCCAGACCAGGCCCCTCACAGCCTGCCAGGAGCATGATATCCAGTGCAGTGCAGAACTAACCTCAAAGCTCAACCCCAGGTAACAGCGTAGGTAAAACAGGGCATGAGGCTTATCCCAGGACAGGTGAAGGATCCAGGCTGATGGGGGCCCAGAACAGTCCTGATCCTGGAGCTCCTTTCTGAGTGGGACCCCAGGGGCTTCCGAGGGGCCACAGGTTGGGAAGCACAGACTCCAGCCCCCAC